TTGGAACTGGATGAGCTTAAGGTCCCTTCCAACCCATCCCATTCTGTGATTCTGTGACACACAGACTCACTGTGGTAAGATGTGTGTTACACCAGTCTTAAAAACACTGGTTTAGCTACTAAACTCAGGTTTGTTACAGCTTAGGGAGGTACACGCCCAGTTTCCAGGACTGCACATCCCAGTCGGTGGTGGTACCATCCAGGATGGTCTCTTTCCTGGCATGAAAAACACTTCTGATATGCCAGCAAAGTAAGTGCAACATTTCCTTTTGGCTTGTAGATCCTTGATGGTATGGAATAAAAACTTCCTGGCAGGAATAAGGGTTGTTTTAGAGTTTGGGCTTTTTGTTTTAAACAGAGAGCTGCTTGGAGGCTTGGAGCAACCTGGGATAGTGGAAGATGTCCCTACCTATGGCAGGGGATTGGAATGAAATAGCTTTAAGGTCCCTTCCATCCCAAACCATTCCATGATTTTATGGCTTAATGAGCTGTCATCTTAGACTATCACTGCAGCTGGATCCTCATGTGGACTGGAAGAACAATTCCTTTTTTATTTTTATTGTTTTAGGCACCAGACTGGGATTTGGGAGAGTGATGTCCTGATCCTGCCACTGCCACAGGATTGCTGGTGTCATCTCAAGTGAGTCACTTCACCAAGGAACCCACAGGGACTGCACATCCCTATGGCAGGAGCTTTGCTGTGTCTCCAGGTGTCCTGAAAGGCTGGAAAGAGCTTCTTTCCCTCAGCTATCCAAGCACAGTGGGTGCAAGTTCAGCAAGGGCAGAGGGGAGCAGGATGAGACCACAAAACCCCACAGAATGTGTAGGAGGGGATGGGAGGGAGATCAAGCCTGAGGTTCTGGGAGAGGCTGTTTCTGAAAACTTTGAACAAGCACCACTTCTGGATGCTCCACGGGAAAGGGGAGGAAAAAGGCAGTGGTGTAGAGTGGGGAGAGTGACAGGAACACTCTTAGAGCCACCATGGCTGCCTAGGAGAGGATGGACAGTGCTTGTCTGCTGATGGAGATTCCCAGCAGCAGAAGTCATTCCCAACAACCCTGGTGACCATCCTGGCAGTGCTCAGAGTCCCAGCATGGAGAAGTCCCTCACCACAGGCTATGCAAAGGATGCTCAGGAATTTCCAGTTTACTGTGTGTTAATAAACTGCCCCTCCTGGAGGGTGGGAATGGTCTGGGGCTTTTCTTGGTCCTGAGTGACACCATGTTAAATTTGTTGCAGCTTTGGAACTGTTTGAGGCAGGAAGAAATGGGATCAACTGCTGAGGAATCAGATCCCTCAGGGACTGGCTGCATATGTTGCTCTCCAAATCAGGAGCATCCCTAAATCTGTAACCCAGCTGCTGTTCCAGGGTGTCTGAGTGAGGGAGGTGGATAATGTGCTGTGAGGATCAAGCTGTTCCTCTTCTGAGTTAAAATCAGCCTTTTGCTGCCCTCTCTCCCTGTTTTCAGCTCCCTGGATTTCTTTCTGCTGAGAAACCTCAACACCCAGCCCAGATCCCTCTCATTATGGCCTTGAGAGGCAGAGCAGCTTGTTGGAACATGTCCTGCTCTCTTCCCTTTGATTTGCATTCCCAATATTCCCTCGTTAGTCTGTTAATGAACTTCAGGTTGGTTTTTTATGTTTGAAGTCTTTCGGACATGGATTTATATTATTTTAAAAAGAAAAAAAAAGAAATCCAGACAACAGACAAACCCACAAAACCTTAGAATCCAGATAACATGAAAAATATAAACCATACAAACTTCTCAGTAACCTGTAACTCTCTCTGTCTCTATGGAGCATTTTTTGGGGGCATATTTTGACATACACAGAGATTCTCTGAGCGGGATTGGAACAAGCTGCCCAGGGAAGCAGTGGAATTGCACTGGAAGTGTTCAAAAGGTATGTGGATGTGGTACTTGGAGACATGGTTTAGTCATGGCCTTGGCAGTGCTGGGAGAACAGATGCACTCAGTGATCTTGGAGGTCTTTTCCAGCCTAATTCTAGGATACACACGGGTGAGGACTGTCATAGAATCACAGAATGGTTTGTGTTGGAAGGGACCTTAAAGATCATCTTGTTCCAACCTCATGCCGTGGGCAAGGACACCTTCCACTATCCCAGGTTGCTCCAAGCCCTGTCCAACCTGGCTTAGTGAGCTCCAAGGCTGTGCTGACCAGAGAAAGACACCCAAGGTGTCATTGCTGCCCACATTGGTGCTCACTGGGTGGGAGGATCACCCTCAGCTGGTTGTTGGAATGGAACATCCACGCTGCTGAGATGCCATTCACCCATCTGGGCTTGAGTTTTCTTCCCTTTAGGATTTTCTGCCTTCCCATACTGATGGTTTTACTCTTGCCCCTTGGAGCTGCTGCCATCACATTGACGTTCCTACCTCTGTCCTTGGTTTTACCTTTCTTATCTTGCAGGGCTTTGTGCTCTTTCCCATGAGCAGGCAACCTCCTGAGCTCTGGGAGGAGAGTTTTCCAGCTGGGCTGTATCAGGGAGGCCTTGGATTCCAGCTGAACCCAGAGGATGGGGTGGTTCAGGGCCAGCTTTTTACTCACTCTGCTGATTCTATGCCAGTTTAATGCTCCAAGTGCTGGCTCGGTGCTGGAGGAAGGGAATGGTTTATGGAACCACTTCTGATCCCTTGGGGGATCTGCCATCCTGGTGTGATCCTGGTCTGGAAGAGAACTTTACTGTGTGTCCAGGGAAGGGAACAGAGCTGGGGAAGGGGCTGGAGCACCAGGAGTGGCTGAAGGAGCTGGAGGGGCTCAGCCTGGAAAAAAGGACGCTCAGGGGGGACCTTCTGGCTCTCTGCAACAACCTGACAGGAGGGGGGAGCTGGGGGGGATCAGGCTCTGCTCCCAGGGAACAAGGGACAGGACAAGGGGAAAAGGCCCCAAGTTGCACCAGGGGAGGCTCAGATTGGATATCAGGAGGAATTTCTTCATGGAAAGGATTTTTAAACATTGGAAGGGGCTGCCCAGGGAGGTGGTGCAGTCCTCATCCCTGGAGGTGTCCAAGGAATGACTGGCCATGGCACTCAGTGCTCTGGGCTGGGTGACAAGATGGGGATCAGTCACAAGTTGGACTTGATGATCTTGGAGGTCTCTTCCAACCTAAATCATTCTTGGATTTACATTGATTCAGCTGAGCAGATACAGCAAAGCCCTGGGTGCTCCAAGCACGTCCTTCCTGAGCTGAAAACACCCTTTTCTTCCACTCTCTGCACTCTCAGGGTCATGGGGACAACAGAATCTTTTCTTTTTCCCTCTGCAGCATCCCAGGTGACTGTGTCTGCCCTGACTGCAGGGCTGGGCTGGATGCACAGTGCCCTTCCTTGGAGCAGCCACGGGGTCATGGTAGAGGTTCTTACTTCCCTTCTGTTTGGTGGCAGACAACTCAGCCTGGAAAATGGATTGCTGAGGTGATATGATGGAAGTTTGAGATCTATTAGCCTGGAAAATCATGGAATGACACGATAGGTAAGGTTGAAAAGGACCACTGGAAGTCATTTCACTGGAAGCAATTCTTCCCTGTGAGGGTGGTTTGGGCCTGGCACAGGTTGCCCAGAGAAGCTGTGGCTGCCCCATCCCTGGAAGTGTTCAAGGCCAGGTTGGATGGGGCTTGGAGCAACCTGGGCTAGTGGAAGGTGTCCCTGCTCATGGCAGGGGGATGGAACAAGGTGGGGGTTTTAAGTCCCTTCCAACCCAAACCATTCTATGATAATAAAGGGAACGTTTTACTCACAAGTTTTGTTTTAAGCATGAATGAGAAAAGGTGTGTTCATGGATTTTCTGACAGTACTGGAAGCTTCAGCTGGAAGTTCCCCGTTTGATTAAAGTAACTTCGAGGATTGCTAAAAACATTTGAGTTTAATTTAATTTTTAAAATAACATTTCAGTCTGGCTACATTTTACTCCCTTAACAGCAAGTGTCCAAGGTCAGGTAGGATGGGACTTGGAGCAACCTGGTCTATTGGAAGGTGTCCCTGCCCATGGCAGGGGGGTGGAATGAGATGATCTTTAAAGTCCCTTCCAGCCCATGGAATGCATGACTCTGTGGAGTCCAACCCGGTTGCTGGTGGCCTTTGAGATGGCACAGAATGTCACATGACCCTTTAATTTGACTATTTTTGGCAGATTCTGTTCAATCTGTAGCAGACACTCCACGGCTTTGCCTCTCCAAGGGCATTAACTGCACTTTTTCAAGGCTCTGCAGTGGAACAAGAGACTGCTTTGTGTTTATTTTCCTCCTGAAGCTTTCCCTCTTTTCAAGAGGGACAGCTGGTTTGGTGAATGGTGCTTAACAGTCCTTTCAAACTCAATTAGGCACTTGAGAGCCAGGAGTTGTGAGCACTCAGCTTCCATAGCCAGCAAAGGATTTTCCCCTCTGTTATAGCACGATTTTCCAAGATTTCTACACTCTGTGAGCTGAGTTTTTAGTTACTGGCCATTTGTTCGTGTCTGGAAGCTTTGGAAATAGTGGCCAGCCCTGCTTTGTTTGCTCTCTGAACTTTGAACGTTTTCATTCAGCATTTTGTAAGAGGTGAAAAAAAAAGTAAAATTAAAAATAAAATAATAAAATTAAAAACTAAAATTAAAAACTAAAAATTAAAAACTAAAATTAAAAACTAAAAATTAAAAACTAAAATTAAAAACTAAAAATTAAAAACTAAAATTAAAAACTAAAAATTAAAACATTAAAAAATAAATTAAAAAACTAAAAATAAAAATTAAAATAAATACATTAAAAAAAAATAAAAATAAAAATAAAAATTAAAAATAAATTAAAATAAAAATTAAAATAAAATTAAAAAATAAAATTAAATAAAAATTAAAATAAATTAAAAAAAATAAAATTAAAAATAAAAATTAAAAATAAAATTAAAAATAAAATAAAAATAAAATTAAAAATACAATTAAAAATAAAAAATTAAAATAAAATTAAAAATAAAAATTAAAAATAAAATTAAAAAATAAAAATAAAAAATTAAACAATAAAATTAAATAAAAATTAAAAAATAAAAATTAAAAATAAAATTAAAAAATAAAATTAAAAATAAAATTAAAAAATAAGCAGGCTCTGCCCCAACCCTGAACTGATTCTTGTCTTATATTCACAGCAAATTCCAGGGATTTTTTTTGTTGGCGGGCTTGACAACAAACCATCCCTGCGTCTAAATAGTGACGCCCGAGTGCTTTATTCTTTTGTCTCAGTGCATATCCGGGCCCAGTGTTTGTGTAGGGTCTCCTCCTGCCCCGGAGCTGTGCCCGGGTCCTGACCAGCCAGGCGGGAAGGGATGTGATACATCCCTGTCAGAACACAGTTTGTTCTGCCTCTGATCTCCGGCTGGGGAGATCTCTGTGGTGGCACTGGAAGGGTTTTGTTGCTTATCAGAGCTCTCTGAAAGGTTTCCCCATGATACTTTAAATGTTCCATCTTTGTCTGACTGAAAATTAAGACCTAAACTATCTTTTTTTTTTTTTTTTTTTTTATTACACCCTTTTTCCTTGATTTAGTCGAGCTCCACAGAGTATTTCCTGGAGGTACCTTTAACAAAAGCATTTTTAATATTTCAGGATTCCTTTTTTGGGCTGCTGAGCTGAAGGTTCCAGCTCAGTGAGCTGTGCCCTCAGAGGGGCCTGGGATACTTCATGTGTCATATTTTCATGCCCTGGGCTCCTGCCCAGGAGCTTCCATGAGACACAGAGCTGAGCTGGCTTCAGGAAGTGTGTAACAAGGACCAGGCTGGTCAGAACAAAGGTACCAGCACCTCCAGCAACCATAATCCATGGATATTTAAAGGGGAGATTATAGGCAATGGGACCAGAGCAACCTGGTCTAGTAGAAGGTGTCCCTGCCCATGGCAGGGGATTGGAATGATATAATCTTTAAGGTCCCTTCCAACCCAAACCATTCTAGGGATATTTCCCAGACTCCAGACTTTTATTTAAGGAGAATGAAAATTGAATTATTTAGGCAAAACCGCCTTTTTGTCCCCAAGGAGAGTTTTGTTGTTTTTTTTTTTTTTTTTTTTTTTTTTTTTGCTGAGATTGCTCTTTCCCTGGATGGAAAATTCCCAACCTGCTTGAGTTGGCAAGCTCTGGTTTTCAGCTAAAGCATATGCTGATGTATGTTTATATCTTGCTGCAACAAAAAGCTGTGGATAAATCAAGAGCTGAAGGCAGCAGGCAGTTCCCTTCCCCATCCCAACAATCCTCATCTTGCCAGTGGGAGGGTGGAAAAATGGCAATTACAGTTCAGTCTGCAGGAAAATGACAGCAAAACTATACTAATGAAATAAAATATAATTCCAGCTTTATTGTCTGTCCTACAGATAATACTGTAAATTCAGGAAGAATTTCTTCATGGAAAGGGTTGTCAAACATTGGAAGGGGCTGCCCAGGGAGGTGGTGAAGTCCCCATCCCTGGAGGTGTCCAAGGAATGACTGGATGTGGCACTCAGTGCTCTGGGCTGGGTGAGAAGGTGGGGATCAGTCACAAGTTGGACTTGAAGATCTTGAAGGTCTTTTCCATCCTAAGTGATTCTATGAAATGCAAAAAGATCCAGAAAATCCAACCTATAGCACCTGTTGCCTCAGAGATGTCACATAAGAAGAAGGAATAACCTGCTTTTATTTCAATAAAAGGACTATTAAATTCCAAGAACAAAGTTTGCAGCCTCATCATGCTACATTATAGTGATTATCCACTAGCACTGGCTGGAAAATGGAATTCCTAAATGCTTTTGCCTCTCCCTGGCTAGTAACATGATGCCTTGAAGGCAAGGAATTCTTAGGCAGATTTTTCCCTGGCACCCTGCAAGCTCCTGCTGGCTGCTCCATGGGCTGGACAGCTGGGAGAGGCTGGAGAGGCTGTGGGAAAGGTGCCTGCCTGTTCCTGGAGCATCCAGCACACTCCCAGCTCCTGAAAAATGGTTTTGCAGCTGTGGAAAGGGCTCTGGTTTGCAAAGATGGCCGGTTTGGATTTAATTTTAAATGCATTTCAACTTTTCTGCCTGAAATTTCCCTCTGGAATCTCCCATCAGAACCAGCTTTATTTTAGAGTGTGAGTTTTGAGGTTAATTGATCAGGACACTTGAGGGATGAGGGATTTAAGTCCCTGAGACCTGGCATATTTCATGGAATGCCTGGATGTGTTTTTAGCAGGCTTTTCTCAGGGTGGTTCATGGAGGTTGCCCTGTTCAAGAGCAATGAAACCCAGTGTTTCCCTGG